GCTTTACTTGTAATGTGTTAACCACAACACTGCCCATATTTGACTTGTTATTGATTTGAGCACTAAGCTTTGCAATGTGAACTGACTAAATAAATAACATAAATTCTAAATAACGCAATTAGTGGTGTCTATAAATACACCTGTGAACAGAGCTAAATGTATATAATGCCTATTGGGTTTCCTTCAATTGTCTGATGCAATATAACAAAGGCACTCCTTTAGAGCCATCTACTGTCATGGACTAAATTTGCATTTTTATTCATTCGTAGCTACGTTTTAGATTTGTACAGGTATTATGCGCATCTCGAAATTTCACCAACAAGTGCTTATGCGCGATGGAGGCTTATTAATGAACACAACTTCCCCCACACAGTTTTCTTATTTGAAATAATGGCAATATCTTGTATAGAAATAAGTCACTATTCTTTCATAATTGGTCTAACATTTACAGAATTCATTGCAAGATACAAATTTCTTATTACATTAAAGGAATTTAAGATTATAACGGGGGCAATACCTGCTGGCATACATATGCTGTACAAAAGCAGTGTTTGTACAGTACATCAACACTTTCTGCTTGTCCTCCTAGACCTGCACAGACCTCAGTCAGCTTTATCAGTTTCTCTGGATTTAAGCCTAGTCATCACAAAATTAGATCTTTAATCTTAAAAGACAATACGTCTATACCTTATGCTGTTTTTTTTTTACTGGAACAATACCTTTATTAATGTGAACTGGACTCAAGTTTGGTCATTACCTTACTTTTTCATTACAAATAAGGCTAAAGAAATATCATTTAAATAAATTTTTAATTAGTTTACCAAACAAAAATATTTTACAACAATTTTTCATTGATGTTGGCGTAGAATGTTGTTTTTGTGAAAGCTTTAAAGAAACTGTTTTACATTTATTTTGGTGTTGCCAATATACTCAAGATCTTTTTATTTGATTAATGTTGTAGCTTTTACTGCTCATAATATTTTAAAAACATTTTCCTTAGCTTATAAACAAGGTTTTTGGTTATTATGTTAAGGGTGGCTCTTTAAAGATCCTGGTTTTATTATTATCATGTAAATTTCCCATACATAAATCCAAGTTTGCAAATTAAAATGTGTATAAAAGTCATTTCTAAACATAGAAAAGCATTAAAACAGTTAACATATAATCCTCCTGTAACATTTTTACATAAAAATATTTGTATACATGCATTTTATGAACTAAAAGTGTTTATTAGCTTTTTTTAATAATTAGAATTAAAAAAATATGTATATTATAATTGTATGTAATTTCATAATTATGTATCCTCTCCTATTTTTATTATTTTTATATAATTTATTTACTCAATTATGTGAAGTGATTTTGTTGTATAATAAAACTACATTCTGGTTCATGTTACTAAAGCAAAAAAAATAAAAAAAATAATTAATAAATGTGCAGAACAGACTTTCACAAATCTGAAACCACTTGAGTTTTGCTTTAAATAATTCAAGTCAAAAACTACTACTAATGCAAAATGCATATTTGCTTTGATTGGGATTAAAATGCAATGGTAACTTTAAATGAATTTAGATTTATGTCAATTTATTTTTATTTAAATGTAACTTGTCTTGCAAAAGAGAAAAAACTAAACAACAAATAAATTTACTTCATACAAAAATTTGACATTTCCTAATGACTTAACTTGAATTTGTATGAATTAGCCACTAAACTAACAAAATCGTAAAATAGTTCTCTTGTGAGATCAGGCTGGCAAGTTTGACAAGCTTTTTAAGATGGACAATGTGCAAATTTGAGCTGCAGTTAAGTTCAGAAGATTCTCTTTTAATATCTCACTAATTATTTTTTTAGACATCTTAAGCAGGTTACCGAATGCAGTTTGAGGTGCTATACTGAAAGTTTAATAGAATTTCTGAATATGTAAAAAAACAGTAATGTTTCTGACAGAAGAAAACCCCCAAAACTGTTAAAAAAAACCTTGCTTTGGTGGACCTAAAAGGCACAGATGACCACAGCCCCTCTGACCTGTAAACACAAAATGAACGGAAGGTATCCCATAATAGCCTTGACCCCAGGAAAACTTTGAAACAAACCCCCTCAGAAGACCTTTGAAGCAGAGACCCCCCATGAAGCCCACGCGTGTGCAGTCTGGAAACCGGCATTTCCTTGTCTTTTACAGAGTTACTGTGTTTTCAGCCGTGTTTGTTTGTTTAAGCTAGCGAAACGTTGATGCTAATTGTTTTGGTGGCTTTGGGTAAACAAAGACGGGATGGCTTGGTTTGATTTGTAGTTGGGTTTAGACACCTGCACGTTTCTCTGACCTGAGGAGTGTGAGAGTCTCCATGAGCTTGCATGTGTGAACGTCTGGCAAATCAACTGGAGTGTAAAGACAGGATATGCAGCCCAGCAAGTCACATACTATAGCATATATCACTCAGCATGAGGTACAGCAAGAAACACCACAGAATGATCATGAACACGCATGCAAACATATTTTAAGGCACATTCACGAAAACAAATATAACCACCATAGCTACTGTACATTGGTGCCCACACATATACAGTCAGAATTATTAGCCCCTCAAAATTATTTTTTCAGCAAATTTCAAAACATAATAGTTTTATTAACTCATTTCTAATAACTGATTTATTTTATATTTGCCATGATGAGAGCACATATTTCATTAGATATTTTTCAAGACACTTCTACGAAGCTTAAAGTGACATTTAAAGGCTTAACTAGGTTAAGTAGGTTAACTCGGCAGGTTAGGGTAATTAGGCAAGTTATTGTTAAACAATGGTTTGTTCTGTAGACTATCGAGAAAAAAAAAATTAGCTTAAAGGGGCTAATAAATTTGAAATGGTTCATAAAAAATGTATTCTAGCCTAAATAAAACAAATAAGACTTTCTCTAGAAGAAAAAAATATTATCAGACGTACTGCAAAAATTTCTTTGCTCCGTTAAACATCATTTGGGAAATATGCAAAAAATAAAAAATAAATTCAAAGGGGGGCTAATAATTCTTACTTCAACTGTATATGAAAACATCAACAGCTGGAAAAATCATGCTACATTTTATTCTAATTATATAATTTCACTGTCCGGTTATCACTATTGCTGTTTTGTGGACTTCCTTATTCTCCCAGTATTGGAATTAGATTGGTAGGTTTATTATATTAACTAGATTAGATTCTAGAAAATGAATATTTGGATATACCTAGGCATAGCGGAATAATAGGCATTCAGTACATAAAAATGGCATACCATTTGCGTCAAAAAGCTTTGTATCCTCATTTTCATGTAAAATGCATGAGTGTAAAATCCAGTTGAAAAACAGGCCACTCAAAACAAAACAACTTTTATGTTGCACATGGGATCATTGCTAGGCATACTCTAGACTGCGTGGCCACAACATTTCCTTGTGATATTACAATGTTATTTTTCCTTTATTCTTAAGTTTTTCTTGGCTATTGTAAAAAAGTCAGTAATTTCAACAGTAAAAAAACTACAGTAAAAATCTATAACCTGTTTAACAGTAAAGTTCCTTAAAGGGCACATATGATGAAAATCAACTTTTGGAAGATGTTTGGACAGAACTGTCATACTGAAGTGATATAAACACAATGTCACTTTTTCTAAATTTCCTGACATTAAAATAGGTTCCAAACCCCAGTGAACATAGGTGCCCTTTAATGTGTGTATGTGTGTGTGTTTACTGCAAACGACATTTGTGTGAAACTCATCATTACAGAAAGGCTTGAACAAATTCCACCACAAATAGATCAAATAAACTTACTTGGTATTTTTGATGAATAAGCTGTATTTTAGCTTCATCCGAGTCTGTCTCTATCACTGACTGATGTTTATCTGAGGCAACGCATGATGAGCAGACACACATTGGAACGGTGGGTGGGGAGAAGCAGCTCATTTGCATTTAAAGCCACAGACTACAAAAATAGCTACAGTATACACCAAAACAGGCAGATTCTGGAGGATATAATTCATAATCCGATGGGTTTTAGGGCTGAAATTTTACAGATACATTCTGGAGATACCAAAGCTCATGTTACATATTGTAAAAGGGGTGAAATAGGTGCCCTTTAATGTATATGGTGAAAAACTGTGAATTCACTTTCACAGAATACTAATGAATTACTAATGAATCACAGAATTCCTATGATTCTTTATAGTTTGTTCGTTTTTTCTTTTGAGTTATGCACATTAGATTTTAATGTTATATCTAATGTTGATAAATAAAGTTTATTGCTTTACTTTAATTGTTTGTGTGTGCTAAGGTAATGGTGCTTAATTGTAATTTAAATGACACTGAGAACCATTTATATATTAGTATGCTTCTTCTCTGCTTATGGGAAAAGTTGTTAGTAATGAGTTTTGGTACATTATATGACTTTCTCACCCACACCTGCTAAGGGTTCTTAGGTTGTGTAGATGATAGTATTTAAAAACGCTGTATGACAAGTTTCCTTTACGTTTCTACTGTATTTTAAATGGTTAAATTCCAGCTGTCATTTTTTTTTTTATTTGACAGATTTTGTTTTACAGTGGTGGGACTTAATTTGAAAACAGGAGGAACAGGGAGACTAAAGCCCATACAATCCATTCAACCAGCCATGAAAGACCACCTACCTTCTACATAACATGTGATCATTGTGGGAAGTGTTGTGAGAAAGCGCACTAAAATAAGATATTTATATTCTACTGAACTGTGTCCAAACACAGATTATGATCAAAATAATTTTTCACTTTGCTTTGTCACTTGCTCATAAACCATAATAATACTTGTGCAGTGCACTGTACACTCCTGCAAATGTGCGGTGGAGCGTGACAAAATAAGATGGAAGGGTCTCAACCAAATCCCAACACAAGGTGTTCACAAGACATCTCAGCTAAGCATTTGTGATGGGATCACTGAAAACACATGTTAAAACCAGGTGGAAACACAAAGCTCATGCCATTATAAGGTGCTTGTTTAAAGACTTACTGAAGTGCCCAGATACTGCAAGATGATTTCTCCAGCCGCTGTCCGTGACAGGCACTGCATTTACAGAAAGACATAATGTGCATTAGTGTCTTTGAGTATATGATGTTGTGGGTTCGTAACAAAGCAATGGTTAATTCTTCATTCTAATTGGCCCAAAATGTAGTGTATCCATTCATTTTGTAAGTCTACAGAACTGGCTTGCCGACCTCATTACAGTTACAAATAGGTGGCACAAGAAAGCAGTTTTTCAAAAAATATGATTTTGGAAGTCAGCAACACATGGGTAATCATGCTACAAGTAAAAGATAAATTTGTACAGTCAACTAGACATAAACAAAAATGACAGTCATCACATTAGCATTCTATAGTAATATTTTTTAATCACACACTGCAAAAAATACTTTTCTTTTAAATATCAGCTTTATACAAGTAAACGTGTTATAGCTTTGGTATGGAAAAACACCCAAAGACCTGTTCTTGCACAATGGATAAAGGAAATGTCTAATAATCTTGCTCTTGAAAAATTAACATACGTGATCAGGGGTAAAGCAGAGACTTTTAAAAAAGTGTGGTCCCCTTTCAGTTGCTTTATAAATGGATAGAAAAAAAGGATGTCTCTGGAAAGATGACTGTAATTTAAAATTCAATGTAATAGTTTTTTATTTTTATTTTATTTATTTTGTTATTATTTATATATAAATATATATATATATATATATATATATATATATATATATATATATATATATATATATATATATATATATATATATATACATAATTTTTTAAATATGTTTTTTGCATTTTATTTTTAATTATTTATTTTTGTATTTTTTAAAGTATTGTATATTATTCTATGTTATAATATATTTTAAATGTTATTTTAATTTAACAAATGTTGGGGTGGGAAAGTAGACTCTGAAATATCATAAGTTAACATTCTGTACTGTTTGTTGGGTTTTGTATTATAATTAAAATCAATAAAAACAAAGTTGAGAGAAAAAATCTAAAAATTCTTATATCAAGAAGCATTTTCTAGGCAAGCAAAACATATTGTTAGTTTTCAGAAATAATATTCCAATATTAAGTGTGTTTTTTTTTTCCCTTAAAACAAGCTAAATAATCTGCCAACGGGGTAAGCAAAGTAATCTTGTTTTTCCTTTGGACATAAGATTATTTTACTTACCCTATTGGCAGAGAATTTTGCTTGTTTTAAGGAAACAATAACTTCAATTTAATAACTTGGTTACTATAAGAGCTTGTGTAGCGAACGCAGACGCGGTTTCGCGTCGTCCGCCTCAGTTTCGGCCCTTGTTTTGACTCGGGAGGCGTGTCCAAACGCCAGGTAACCACTATATAGTGAGCACGCTAGCATTAGTCGGCAGGAGAAGCACTTTAGCAGCATCTAGACCAGCAGCCTGTAAGTACATTTAAGATTTGTTTCAGTTGTTGTGTATGGTTTGAGGACTTGTTTCCAGCTGTTTGTGTAAAGTTGTAGGACATTAAAACTTGCTTTCAGTTGTGTATAATACTAGAAGTTGTTTAGCCACTGTTTCCTTGGTTACTATAAGAGCTTGTGTAGCGAACGCAGACGCGGTTTCGCGTCGTCCGCCTCAGTTTCGGCCCTTGTTTTGACTCTCGAGGCGTGTCCAGCTGAATTCAATCAGCTAGTGCTTTGGGGTTATATAAACAACTAGTTCACCGCGGCAGCGGTCGCGGCAGCCTCGTGTGAAGACCGCCTCGTGTGAAGACCGACGAGGGTAAAGACCATCGACTCTACCTGCGCGACTCCACCGAGCAAAGACACCGACAAAGCACTTGAGTACTTTACTTTATTGTTTTACTTTACACTTATTTTTTGTTGTCAGTGCACTTTTATTATGTGTTGTCTAATTCCTGTTGTTACTAACACTCGCAAAACACGGGAGGTACGCTGCAGGCGTAATCCTCACAACCTTCGTTCAATACATGTATCTACTATTTCACAACTCTCTCTCTCCGTGGGCCTCTGGAATTGTCAATCAGCTGTTAACAAGGCTGATTTTATTACCTCCATAGCTACATATTCTGACTATAATCTCATGGCTCTAACTGAGACCTGGTTGAGGCCGGAGGACACTGCTACACATGCTACTCTTTCTGCTAATTTCTCTTTTTCCCACACTCCTCGTCAGACAGGGAGAGGGGGTGGGACTGGACTACTAATTTCCAAAGAATGGAAATTTACTCTGATACCGTCCCTGCCAACAATCAGCTCCTTTGAATTCCATGCAGTCACCATTATCCACCCCTTCTACATAAATGTGGTTGTCATCTACCGCCCACCAGGTAAATTAGGTCACTTCCTAGATGAACTGGATGTTCTTCTCTCATCTTTTTCTAATTTTGCCACTCCCTTATTGGTGCTAGGTGACTTCAACATTTACGTTGACAAACCGCAAGCTGCAGACTTTCAGACTTTGCTTGCCTCTTTTGACCTAAAAAGAGCACCTACTTCTGCTACCCACAAATCAGGTAATCAGCTAGACCTTATTTACACACGACACTGCTTCACTGATCAAACAATAGTAACTCCACTACAAATATCTGATCATTTCCTTCTGTCTCTCAACATCCACATTACTCCTGAGCCGCCACACACTCCTACACTGGTTACCTTTCGCAGAAACCTACGATCTCTCTCACCCAATAGACTATCCACCATTGTTTCAGACTCTCTTCCTCCATCTCGCAAACTCACTGCACTTGATTCGAACAGTGCCACTAATACACTCTGCTCCACACTAGCATCATGTCTAGACCGATTATGTCCTCTTGCATCCAGGCCAGCCCGTGCCAGTCCTCCTGCACCCTGGCTCTCGGATGCTCTCCGTGAGCATCGCTTAAAACTTCGGGCTGCGGAGAGAATTTGGCGGAAAACTAAAAATCCTGCACATCTCTTAACATACCAAACTCTTCTGTCCTCTTTCTCAGCTGAGGTTACTTCTGCAAAGCAGACGTATTACCGTCTGAAAATCAACAATGCCACTAATCCTCGCCTACTTTTTAAAACATTTTCCTCCCTCCTCTATCCTCCTCCTCCACCCGCATCCTCCACACTTACTACTGATGACTTTGCTACATTCTTCTGCACTAAAACTGCAAAAATCAGTGCTCAATTTGCTGCACCTACAACAAACACGCAAGATACAACACCAACACCACACACACTCACCTCTTTTTCTCAGCTCTCTGAGTCTGAGGTGTCCAAACTTGTGCTATCTAGCCATGCAACCACCTGTCCACTCGATCCCATTCCCTCTCATCTCTTGCAAGCCATCTCTCCTGCAGTCATACCAACACTGACTCACATAATTAACACATCTCTTGACTCTGGTTTATTCACCACTTCATTTAAGCAGGCTAGGGTAACCCCACTGCTAAAGAAACCCAACCTGGACCATACGCTACTTGAAAACTACAGACCAGTATCCCTGCTTCCATTCATGGCCAAGATTCTGGAGAAAGTAGTGTTCAATCAAGTCCTGGACTTTCTTACTCAAAACAATCTCATGGACAACAAGCAATCCGGCTTTAAGAAAGGCCACTCAACTGAGACTGCCCTGCTCTCGGTCGTGGAGGATCTCAGACTGGCTAAAGCAGACTCTAAATCATCAGTCCTCATTTTGCTGGACTTGTCAGCTGCTTTTGACACTGTCAACCACCAGATCCTGCTATCTACGCTTGAGTCACTGGGCGTTGCGGGCACTGTTATACAATGGTTCAGATCTTACCTCTCTGACAGGTCATTCAGGGTGTCTTGGAGGGGAGAGGTGTCCAACCTACAGCATCTAAACACTGGGGTACCTCAAGGCTCTGTTCTTGGGCCACTTCTCTTCTCCATCTACACATCATCTCTAGGACCAGTCATCCAGAGACATGGATTCTCCTACCACTGCTATGCTGATGATACCCAGCTATACCTCTCTTTTCATCCTGATGATCCCTCGGTTCCAGCTCGTATCTCAGCCTGCCTGTTGGATATTTCACACTGGATGAAAGATCATCATCTTCAGCTGAACCTCGCAAAAACGGAAATGCTTGTAGTTTCTGCCAACCCGACTCTACACCATAACTTTTCAATCCAGATGGATGGGGCAACCATTACTGCATCCAAAATGGTGAAAAGCCTTGGAGTAACGATTGATGACCAACTAAACTTCTCTGACCACATTTCTAGAACTGCTCGATCGTGCAGATTTGCACTCTATAACATCAGAAAGATCCGACCCTTCTTATCTGAACATGCAGCTCAACTCCTTGTTCAAGCTCTTGTTCTCTCCAAACTGGATTACTGCAACTCTCTACTAGCTGGGCTTCCAGCTAACTCTATCAAGCCTCTTCAACTGCTCCAGAATGCAGCAGCACGAGTTGTCTTCAATGAACCTAAACGAGCACATGTCACTCCGCTGCTAGTCCGTTTGCACTGGCTGCCAGTTGCTGCTCGCATCAAATTCAAAACTCTGATGTTTGCCTACAAAGTGACTTCTGGCCTAGCACCTTCTTATCTGCACTCACTTCTGCAGATCTATGTGCCCTCCAGAAACTTGCGTTCTGTGAATGAACGTCGCCTCGTGGTTCCATCCCAAAGAGGGAAAAAATCACTTTCGCGAACGCTCACGCTCAATCTGCCCAGTTGGTGGAATGAACTCCCTAACTGCATCAGAACAGCAGAGTCACTCGCTATTTTCAAGAAACGACTAAAAACTCAACTATTTAGTCTCCACTTCACTTCCTAATCTGCAATTGCCTCTTTGAATATCACACTAACTGTACAAAAAAAAAAAAAAAAAAAACTACTAACACTTCCCTTCTTAGACTTTACAGACCTGAAACTTGCCTTTAGTACTTATTCATTGTTGCTCTTAGTTGTGTAAATTGCTTCCTTGTCCTCATTTGTAAGTCGCTTTGGATAAAAGCGTCTGCTAAATGACTAAATGTAAATGTAAAATGTAAATTTGGCATATTATTTCTTAAAACAAGACAATAAGTTTCGCTTGTCTAGAAAATTCTTCTTGATTTAAGAATTTTAAGATATTTGGACTAGAAATAAGACAAAAAAAATCTAAGTAAGAAAATCATTTTTTGCAGTGCAATTAGTATTATAAACAAAAAAGTGCTATAAAATCTGTCCTTTTTTTTAAAAATGCTTTCGTAATAACATTAAATAAATGACTACTGATTGTGGATTATCGCACTATTTACATGCCTACTTACAAAATAAATGGATAAATAAACAAAAATACCATCACATTTTATTTAAATAGTTTGCCAAAAAAATATAAACTACCATTTGCTCACATCTTTTGTTTATCTCAATAAGATATATATGGCTGTTTTTCCATCATTGTTAGGTATATTTCTCTTTGAAAGAAACAAAAATAGGTTTTGAACAAGTAGAAGAGGAGTAAATGTTAACAGAATTTTTATTTTTGGGTGAATTAAAGTTGAATAATTGATTCCAGACCAGTAGGAAGGTCACAAATCTACAAGTAAACAGAATTTTAAGAAAAACAACTTTCTCTTTTTCTCTCTGCAACTTTATTACAATATTTCCCAAAACTTAAGTTTCAGTAGCTTGAGTCAAGTTAACTTTATGCGCAAAACTGGATTATCTTATAAAAGATGTGCGAATAAAGCAGCGCTTCTATCCAAGGAGTCAAAGTAAACAAAATCGTCACTTCCTGATCATCTGGCGCCAAATATCAACAGCAAAAACGGAATTTGATGCAATAAGAGAATCTGTGTGAATCTTTTCTTCATTTAATAAATGACTTGCGCCTCAGAAGGTGGCATTTGAAAGCGTGAGACACGGAGCACAGATGCTCTTGATTCTGGAGGTCATTAATAATATAATAACACTAATACTAACATGGTTAAGGTGTTTTAAAATGACCAAAACAACATATCAGATGCTTTTAGAGTGTGCTCAGCCTGCTGGTTTGTCCATTCACAAACATTTTTATCATCACATGATCTCTTTTAACAAAATTACATGACCTTTTTTAATGCGCATACTGAAATTTGTTTGGTAAAAGTGTTTCCATCATAGCTTATGCACATCTTTTTTATTAAATTAAAAGTTTATCCTACTCAGTTATGCGCATATGTTTTTTTATGCGCATCTTGTTGCTTCCATCAACCGTTTTTTATGCGCATATCCAAAATGTGCATAAAAATAGGTGTAAGGAAAAGTAACTATTTTTTATCAGTAAGAATGTAACGGGTGTTGTTTATAACCTTACTTATATTACAGGCTTACATAACAAACATGAGCTCATATTTGGACTAGACCTTGTGTCACTAGTTTAAGTTGACTTTAAATTAAATTAATTTCTTTAGGCATGATATTTATAATTAGGGCTTGACATAAATACTCGCCAACTTATCAAACGCAGGTAGACTTGACCTGTGTTAGCTTAGACAGACACCCCCACTAGCCACTTTGGTTGCTTGAAAATAATTTTTTAATTGCCAGCACTGGCTTGTCACTAAAGACTAGAATTTTAGTTTTTTTTATAATTTTTTGTTTATTATTTAGTTTATAGTTTGTCAATATGAGTGCAAATGTGATCTTAGAAACGAGAAACAGCATGACTGATAAGTGTTCATGTGAGCAAAAGAAAGCAGGTGAACACAGAATGAGAGGATGATCAAGCACACGGTCAGACACAGGTGATCCTCACTCACTAACGACAGTAGTGTGCGATTGCTTAAAAACTCCCACGTCCCATTTCCTTGCAAGAAGCAACTGTGCCTTTAAACGCAACTGGCGCAATCGTTTCTCTTTGAAATACACTGGAAAAAAATGGTGCTCATGCATGCATTTCGGTTTATGTGGTTTAATTATAATCCTTTACAATTACATTGCTTTAATAGGAGATTAACTCCCCATTTAGCTATAGTTAACTGGTGATCTTGGATGTTTAGCCTGGACATAGTTCTAGATCCATGACAATATTTTTTTAAATGTCAATTGTTTTTTAAGAATGATTTTGTTGAATAAAAAGTTAGATGACACTTTATTTTGATGGTCCATTAGACTATTAGTAGACTGTCTGCTTAAAATATATTGATATGCTACTTCAACAGACATCAGACATTTGACTATGACACTGGCTATAAGAAACTTTGCAAGTACATGTTAACCTACACTAACCTAGCCCCTAACCCCAACCCCAACCCCAACCTAACAGTCTACTTATAATCTAATGAGATTTAGTTGGCATGTAGATGCAATGTAACTTAAATTCAACAAACAAACCAACAAAAGTGACCAAAAGTTATATTACAGTTGTTTTGACACATAACTTAAAATTTGTGGCAAGGAAATAATTAGTTTAGTGGGGCCTGAGAAAAGAAATGGTAAATTCTTAAGTGTTGAACCCTAAAATGTCAAATCAAACTTAATTGCAATGCGACAGTATAAAACCAAAAGCCATTTGCTCATGCTCATTGAGCAAGGTCACAACATACTAAAATTTAAATGACAGAGGAGGCATGTAGAAATAACAAAAAAAATCTCAATTTTGGCATTCCAAAGTCATATTTATGCATAAGAAATATATTTTTCCAACAACAAAACTGTTGAATAACTACTAGCCACAGTGGCTGGTGATCAAAAATGTTAATATCAAGCCCCGTTTATAATATTTTTTTTTATTCACTATAACCACTGGATATTGTATTTAAAATTGCATTAAGGTCAAAAAATTACATTATATTTGCTTAGATGAGCTGTAGCAGTGACTTTCCACTCCATTAGTATATTCTTGCAGCTTTGATGGATTGGGTGGGCCAATGATCAATCTGGGTGGGCCAAAACCTCCATGACCCTTATGTGGCCTCTAAAGCCCTCTGGCCAGATGGAACTAACAATTACTAGAGCTACAGCACAAATATTGCAATTTAAAGTGTGCATTACTTGTCTTTCTAACTTTTCAATAATGGTCAAGAATCAATTAATTTCTACATGTGATTATGTAAATGTATGTTTGTGTACCTGAAGAGTCCTGTGTTTGCCGTTGATGGTGACGGACAGCAATGCTGAGGCCAAGTTCCATTCTCCAGACACTTGAACCTTTTCTCCATCTATCTCCACCTAAACCAACAAAAACACACACGGTAGGAGTTAGATAGACAGCAATGGACCATGTTCTAATCAAGTTACTATCAATCAAAGAGAGAGGAAAATATGACTAAACTGATCCGTCTGAAAGAAACAGCGTGACTAAGAAATCAAATGTAAGTTTCTGAACTCATGTAAGGTCAAGTCAGCAGTTTCTGCGCCCAAATCCACCTGATGCCTGTTAGGGGAGGTGGAGGGTTTCATGTAAGCCTTTTCTGTAAAGCAGTGTCTCTAGTCAAACTGATTATCCTCAGCCCTCAAACACTTGTCTAAACAACCGTTCAGAATAATCGGTTACATTCCCAAAGCATGCTGGGACACTGGAACCTCCAGGGCCTTTTTCTGGAGCAGGGGGTCCAGTTTGATGTGCAGTCTTGGGAGAGAAACACACATCCGAAGCTCAGCTGTAAGAAAGAGAAAGAAGAGGGTCCACGGAGATCAGGTGAGGCCCCTGAAACCCCCCGAGGCTCCTTTTATCCCTGACTGAAGGGCCACAGGTGTCTAAACACACAGTTAGTGAGTGACGTCTTAGAGAAAGTGTGAGAGCTGCTGCTCTATGAGGATCTTTCTGTAACAGAAGAGGAAGACGCATAGCTCCTAAAGTGATTTAGACTCAGGAGAAAGACGGATTGATTTCAATGCAAATACCACCTTAGAGAACAGGGACACTAGCGAGGGAGCTTTCTGGAGGGACTATAACAGATGCAGTAGAAAAGGCCTTCTCACAGACATAAATGGGGCAGAACCGAGTAAAAACTGCTGCATTTGAGAACTACAGAAGTGTTTAAGTTAACCACTAGATCATGTTACTCATTAAACTGGAGTCCCACAAAAAATTATAATAATAATAATAACTCAAATGAATTAAACTAAATGAATTAATGAACTAAAACCCAAATCATATGAAAAAACAACGTTTATATGAAAAATAAAATTCATATGAAAAAACTAAACTCACATTTAAATTAATTTGAAGAAAATACAAAATAAAATAAAATTCATATGAAATAAAAAATTAAATTAAATATAAAACAAATTAAATAAAAACAAAAAAAAATTAAATTTAAAATTAAATTAAACACAATAAAATAAAATAAAATAAAATTAAATTAAATTAAATTAAATTAAATTAAATTAAATTAAATTAAATTAAATTAAATTAAATTAAATTAAATTAAATACAAAAAACATAACCCCTAGTTTAGGATAATATAAAATCATGAAATTTGATGGACCCTTTTCAAATTTCTGAGTTTCTCAGCAGTGAAAGTAGTCAAAGTAGGGTAAACTTAGAGCAAAGTAAATGGGAGAGTACCACAAATATGCATTTTTTGCATTTCACTTTTGCTCAAAAAAACAAAGAACTCCATAATAGTGTTATCATGTCTATATCTTAAATATTTATAGATTCTACATGAGACTAATAACGGCAAAAAATGTCAAATTGACAGTCCTGTCCATAAATGCTCAATTAGAAACACCTCTATAACTAGTTTTTTGTAATTTAATGCAAAGATAATATAATACAAAGTATAGCTTTATAAATGCACATAGATGTTTTAACAAAGTATTAAATACTTTGGATTTCAGGATTTAAGAAATCTAATGACTATTTAATGCGTCATCACCATCTTATGAGAAAAACTCATTCTTTTTAGGATTCGACAGAACTGCCAGAAAATGACAGAAGGTGCGTCCCAAATTGCATATTTATGCACTATTCTATACCATTTTGTAAAATAAATAGTGCAAGTAGTGCATTTTACAACACTTATTTAACCATTAAAATGAAGTGTGCAATGATGGACACTTCACGCATTTAACAGCCGCTGCTTTGCCAAAGTAGCGGAAAGAGTGGAGTTTTCGGGCACTGAAAAATTGGATTACTTGATTTATTTTAGATAGAGAAAGCAAAATTTTCCTATGAGAGTGATTTTACCATGAGGTTATACTCACGGCAGGTATTTTTTTGGTAGTTTGGTCATTCATTTTGTTAATTTGTCAACCATCAACGATCATCTGAGAAACAGTTTGAATTTCCAGTTAGTAAAAAAACATGAAGCATTCCATTTGGGACGACAGTACATTCATATACTATGCTACTGAGTGTAAATGCATAAGTACAAAGTGCATAAGAACATAGTGTATAATGCACCATTTGGGACACAGCTAGCAAAAGAATAAAATAGATCTGCCAGAACTGAATGAGTATTACTCAAAAGCACCACAGCTCAATGGGTCATGCATATGTGGAAACTGCAACACCACTGCCATATCTAATAAGACATGAACTGAGAAATCATACAATTTATCATAATTTTAAACAATTTGACATACTGTATATTTGTTTCCAGACCGAGACACGCCCAGCATGTGAACACTTTTCTCAAGTTCTACACACAACTCCCAATCACTGCTCTCTGCAGGAACACAAGACACCCTGTAACACAAACAAACACACAAACACACTAAATGCTTTCATTCTACACTGTAAAACATGATGCTGGTTTCCACGCAATTCCTTCACCCTGTCCCAACACAAATCAATTAAGTCAATTAAATTGAGCATAAACTATTTAAGTTCTCCAAAAAAAATGATTAAACTCATTTTAAATAAGCAGTTTGAACAGCCAGCCAAAATCAGTTTTTCAGAGTAGGATTAGAGAATACACTTTCTCTCCTCCTCTCTCTACTTTAGTCAATTACAAATCTCTCAGTGTAATTATTTTTAGGTTACAGATCTGCAGATGACTTAAAACACACACACACACAAACCACCTGGTCAGAGGCTGTTTGACTGACAGCTCCTTTGCTAGGAGAACTAAAGTAAATGTATTAGAAGCAAAGCTGTGTTTTTCTTCTGAGGTGGCCTTGCATTCACTACAAAGAGAAAGCCCACCCCCCACCAATAACTTTTGGAACACATGAAAAAAGAGAAAAGAAAGAGACAGTGGAGGGGAAACTGGAGAGATGTTTAGACAGATGGTCTCTCTGCATGTTTTTTCAAGTGTAAATTGCTCTTCTTTTCCAGATGAAGAATAATTCCTTACTGTTTCAGTGGCAGAGAGGTTCATTGACAAACAATTAATTCACAATGAAGCACTTCTTTAGATGCAACGCAATTTGTGTTTCGTTGTTATATTTTTAAAGCATTGTGTTAGTTCCATACACTAAATGTTTATTTGCGGTGCTGAGTCACTGCCTGCTGGGCTTCAGCTGTAAACAGATTACTACTAAGCACATTTCTCATTATTGTCTGATGCATGCGTTCAACCCATAATATGGTTTAAATGTTAAAACAGAATAGGGATTTACACAGAATTACTTGGAAAAAACTGTTCATATAATTTGTATGGCAGAAGGCTCGAGTTCCCTCTCTCTCTTTCATAAACAGACTTATACTGGATACTGATCCATATGTTTGGAACATTGTCTGAAACAGCTGTACAGACAGAAGATCCTGTTAGATTATTTATTACACCCCAAAAATCAGGAACTCTTCTGCTGACACTATTGCATAATTGTTCACTTACTGCAACTAAACATATATTCTACCATTGCTCCAACCAAATAAAAGGTGATCATTTAAAAAAAAAAAAAGTCTAAAACGGGTATATATTTTTCTTTTAAAACACTTAATCAAAAAAAAAAAAAGATTTGTTTTTAATTTGCATTAATAGCTCATTATCGTCATCGATTTTTATTTAATGCCATGTCAGCAACAATGGCTATTTTAAGGGCAAACATGTTTGATTAATAAATATACCACTAAAAACTAACACAAATTCCTAGATAAGATTTTTAAGGTAATTTATGATGCAAATTTTTCAATATTTCCTGATGACACTTTGCTGAATGTCTCCTTGTGGGAAATCCTTCATTATAAAAGCATTTTGCTGTCATTAAAAGCAGGACGGTACAATAAAATGTGTTTTACAGCATTAAATGCTAATTTTTGATGTGACGTGATGCACAACAATAAAACTATTTTATGAAGAAACTAATCTAACTGATGAAAAGACTAGGATTAGTCATTCCTTTCATTTTACCAAAACACCATATTGTATTAAAGCTACGGAAGCTACATAACCTAAGCTTAAACAATATTAAAATCATCACTCAAATAGTTTTTATTTATTAGTAAATGTACACTACCTGATTCAAGTTTTTCAAGTTTTAAGTTTTCAAGTTTTAGGAACAACATACAATAGCTTGACTTTTATCATTTGGTATCAGAAGTGGCTTATATGAAAGGCAAAGACCTCTTGATGATGCATATGTGCAATATGCAATCCACCTCCATCTTACCCCAGACATGCTCAATAATGTTCATGTCTGGTGACTGGGCTGGCCCATCCTGGAGCACCTTGACCTTCTTTGCTTTCAGGAACATGGATGTGGAGGCTGAAGTACGAGTAGGAGCACTATCCTGCTGAAGAATTTGCCCTCTCCTATGGTTTGTAATGTAATGGGCAGCACAAATGTCTTGATACTTCAGGCTGTTAATGTTGCCATCCACTTTGCATAACTCTTGCATGCCCCCATACTGAATGTAAGCCCAAACCATGATTTATCCTTCACCAAACTTGACTGATTACTGTGAGAATCTTGGGTCCATGTGGGTTCCAATAGGTCTCCGGCAGTATTTGTGATGATTGGGATGCAGTTGAACAGATGATTCATCTGAAAAATCTACCTTCTGCCACTTTTCCAAATGATCAACTAGAAGCTAGGTTATTATTTGTTGCTCTTACAACTGGGATCGACAGCAAGACTTTTGTCAGGTAGTGTAGGATTGTTGAAATCTATATTGTGAAGACTTGCTACAGAATGTCCATTAAATGGTTTAATTATTAAAAATAATAGAAAAACATACAACAAAATAATAATGAAAAACCGGTTTCGCCCACAGCGTATAGACAAAACTGAAAAGAGATATAGCTTCAGTGGTTATGACAAAAAACTACATGGTCAATTAAAAAATATTCAAATGCAGCAAAAAGCAGTTTTTTAAAACCCGTGAACACTCATGTTTACATATTAACAGCAATATATTATTAAGCTACTTGATAAAAGTCATTTTTAAGGACCACACAAAAAAAGAAAACAATAAAAAAATAACTTTGAAAACCTTTTAACATCCACAGCCGTGGATAACACTATTATAAGCACGCTGCAGTTATAACGTCTGTCTCTTTTCCTAAATGTAATTTTGTTGGTGCTATTAATCATAATTCTATTTCTATAGGAAAAGCAAATATATGGTTGCAATAGCAATAGGTAGAGGTCATTTACATTTAATAGCCTTAAATAAGGGACTCATAAAGGTGAAATTTAAGTGCAATTTAAAGTGCAAACTTAATAATCTTATATGAATTCATTTAGAACTTTTTACTGGAAAATTAGCTCCAGTTGGAAATCTACTATGGTTGAGCAACAGATCAGCGTCCATACCAGGTTAGCTCAAAGCTTTGAAATAGAAAAAGAAAAAGTCAGTCAGTCAAGGTAAAACAAACTGTCACATAAAGTATACAGCTTATTATTATTAGAGAAAGTTTCAAATGATTAGCCCTCCTGTGAAATTTAAATTCATTATTAAATATTTTCCAAGTGTTGTTTAATGTAGAGAACACATTTTTTACGTATATTTAAAATTCTAACTAGTCTTTGTCATGATGACAGTATATAATAATTTACTAGTGACTGCTACACACTAGTATTCAGCTTAAAGGGCAATTTAAACATTACCGTTAATTAGGTTGCCTTGGCAAGTTAAATTAATTGGACGACAATGTCTTGTTCATTATATATTGTTTTTTTTTTTTTTATTACAACCAAACTACAAGTAATAAGAATATATCTAGAAGAAAATTATAATACTAAATACTGTGAAAAATATTCCTTGTTCAGTTAAACATTACTTGGAAAACATTTTAAAAAAACAATTTAAATTTCAGGGTTGATAATTTTGTCTGTAAATTAACTTGATGCTAGATGCTTTCTTAACTTTTGTTTTCTCAACGATGTCACATTAGTTGTAATAATATGCTGCACAAATTCCTTTAGCGAAATGACAAAAGAGTGTAAAATATATCCCTAGCTGGAAGTTGCTCCATCTTTGTCTCACCTGAGATCCCCCAGGAACCTCTGAGAGCGGAGCTGTGCTGCTGTATAGAGTGCCGCAGCCGTAGCAAGCAGCTCCTGTCTTTCTCCTGCTGTTAACATGTGACCTTTGAACCCATCAGGATACACCTCCGGGAGAAACTTAGTACTGATATCACCAGACACAAACCGAGGATGAACAATGATCTCTCTCAGTAGAGGTATGTTATGTGTTACACCTGTGCCAACAAGAGAAGCAGTCTATGATCTGAAATGTTTTCACCTTCATTTGTCATAATTCTTTCGGAGGCCATTTACCTCTGACCACGTAATTATCAAGTGCTTCTTCCATTTTCTTCAGAGCTTCCTCCCGTGTTTTGCCATACGTGACCAGCTATAAAACAATATATAAAATGAAACAAACTGACATCTTAATTGAAATTAGACTTTCATGATGGTCATTGATTACCTTAGAAATCATAGGGTCATAATAAATACTGATGTCGCTTCCTTCTTGAATTCCGCTGTCCACTCGAACCTACAGGAGAAGCAAAAAAAAAAATCGAATTAAAACACTTACACATGAAGTATTTACTTACATACTTTAACCCTCACCTTAGGGATAGTTCTAATAAATACTTCAATAGTATGGTAGTTTTTTTATACTATGGATTCCAATAGTTGTAAGTTTCCAACATTCTTCAAACAATAATTTTTAGCATTTAACACACAAAAAATTACCACTTAAGGGTCAATGGTGAGCAAATTTTTTTTTTATTTGTGTGTGAACTAACCCTTCAAAACAACACAAAACTATAAATAACCACTAAGAACATCACACAATGTTATCTTTTTTGGCCCTACCTACAAATAAAAGACCATTGTTAATCTCCTCAGTGATGTTTGCTTTCTTTAGACATTTAAAGCTCATCTGTATCCCTTTATGTGTGTGGATTTCTAAAATAAAAACATTTTGCTTTTCCTGTTGAGCAGAAACCAATGATCTTTTGATGAAGAGGATGTGACTATCTGCACTTCCTCTTTTGATTGAAGTGAACACTTTATTGGTTATGCAGATAACTTGCAGTTTCCCCATATTTCTTCATAACCTCCATAATTCAACTAATTGTTCAGTCAAATTTGCTGCGTTCCCTTTCTTTTAACCAAACTTAATAAATGGTCTGCTTGACTCTGAACTCAAAAGACCAGAACTCTTTCATTCCACTGTTGGGCACTGTTCAATTCAGATTTATATGATGCATAAACAAACATGACACAATTTTATCCAAAGTCTATAATTATTTTATCAAGACAATTGTTATAATTTTATAACAAAGTTTTTTTAACTCTGACCTTTTTTTGGGTAACATTTGTTTCACTTAACATTTCACACCATTTACTACCGACTAATAACTTTAACTGAAAATTAACTGTTTATTAGCTTTTATGAAATATAATCTTATTTTATATCCCCCTACCTTAAAGGGCCCATATGATGAAAATTATCTTTTGTAAGCTGTTTGGACAGAAGTGTCTGTATGGACAGTGTGTCCACTGTCATATTTGAGTGATATAAACCCAACAAGTTTTTTTTTTCCTGACGTTTAAATAGAACCCACATCTAAAGGTCCACCATAGCGAATTGATTGACAGGTGTCATGTTTCTATAATAACATGTATACACAAGTCCACAGAACATTTTTTTGCAAATAAACTGGGATTAATATATTAGTTTTAACTCTCTGGGATTTTTAGAAATTTTATATGTTTAAAAACTTTTTTAAAACAGAGTATGTTTGTAATAAAAAAAAAAAGAAACAGAAATGTGCGCACCTTTAAGAATCTCAAAGGCAGGTGCTCGATCAAAACACTGTAAACACTATAGCAAAAGACATTATAGAGCAGACGAAAGTGACTAGACAGGTCAGTTTACTAACATTATCCAAGTCAAGTGGCTCCTGGTACTGAGACAGTCGACCGATGGAGGGGAGTCCAAATGATTTGTATGGATCCTGAAAAAAAAGAAACAGATAGATGAAATAGTGGCTCACAAAGGAAACAAGGGTTCAAGTGCCTGTCCTCAAAGCTCATGTCTTAACTCTGTTCAAACTGTAGCTTAGTTAAGATTGGTTAACAAGGTCTGCCTGGTTCCTTTCAACTCTGCAGGCAAAAAAACTTACGTCATCCAGACTGGGTCAAATGAAGGCTTCTCATTTAAGAAGACACACAAAAGCCTTACACTGATTCATTGGATACAGATATGAACTATGTAGGTGTTATTCAGATTTATACAAAAGTCTGACTAGAATAATCCTAAACACACAAAAGACAGTTTGTCTGACGCGGATTAAGGTGAGTCTAGGATTAAGCGGTTCAGCTAAAGGAGTGAAAATGCTCTCCATCCCACTTAATCTGTCTATAAAGCTAAAATGTAAAGGAAAATCATCTTAAATCTTAACATTAAAAAAATACGAAGATGTTATATGACAGGATAATCCATCCTTATGAAGACAAATCCTTTAATAGGCCAGGACCAATTCAAATTTTTTTGTGAAAGGAAACAAAACTTAGGTGGGTAAATCAGTCATGAGCATAGTAAGTCACATTTAACCCCAAAATTAATTGGAAATTTGAATTAAATGACCATGTTTTTTTAATTCTTTTTTTGTGGCACATAATGTGACTTTACAAATGACTCAGATTATCATTCTAAAAACAAGGTCTGTAGACCTCATATTCACCAAGACATGCAGTATTTGATCAAATATAAAAGTAAAAAATGGTAATATATTGTAATGTTGTCACAATTTTCTATTGTAAAATTTTTAATACTAATTATTTTTGTGATGGCATTAATTTATTCTTCAGTATTACAGAATCCTTCAGAAATCATTATCTGTTTATGCAGCTAAATATAAACAATCGCAAGTATTTTGTGAGGAATTTGAAATAGGTGCACATAGAAATATTACATAACATAAGCGTATTTACTGCCTATACAAATTTTGCAATAAAAAGAAAAAGAAAAGAAAATCTTATTGACCAAAAACTCTTGAATGTTAAGGTATGTTGCAAAGATTCACAGATATACGACTAAGAAAACTAAGAAATATCTTTTTTTAATGAATTAAACATTAATTGAATGTTACTGCTTTGCAAGTAACTGAAGTCCTAATTTTATTTTATTTTATATAATAATAAATACACTAAACAGAAAACTCGAAGACTCAAGACTAATTGTATTTGTCTGACAAACAGATTTTTTGTTAGAAAGAAATGAAGGGAGCATTATTTGTTAAAATTTGGTCATTCTGAGACTAAAACCAAATGAAATATCCAAATATTTTACTACATGATAAATGACTATTTTCATTATACTGTTTGTTTGTAACTTTACCTCAGCATAGACTCTGCTCTCGATGGCCCAGCCATTTATGGGTATGTCAGACTGTTTGTGTTGAAGTTTGTTTCCCTTTGCGATGCGGATCATCTGCTCCACAAGATCCAGCCCTGTGATGCACTCTGTGATGGGGTGTTCCACCTGAAAGAGAGGAACACATATAAAAACATTGTAAGCTTTGGCATGGCAATGTACATATTTTGGTGCATTTAAACAAAACAGATTTATTAAACGGATATATTTATTAAAATAATAATTTAGTCACTAAACATATTTATGAATTGAAATACAATTAAATTCAACTAAATTTAATTTTTTTTTTTTTTTTTTGCTTCAATTGATTTTTATTCTTTTTTCAATTTGTATTTAATATTTTTCTCTAGCATAAAAATTTGGCTGTACTATTTTTTGGACCATTATCATAAGTTATTTTGCTAGATAAGCTCCAGATTTGGCTTCAGTACTGACTAATCTAATGTATATGCACAAATATAATATTGTATAGCTTCTTATTAAAAACATAAATTTAAAACAGTTTTGTGAGGGGTGTACTTGTATGTGCTGAGCACTGTAAATAGCTGATTCAAGAATTGTGGGTACAATTTGCATCTCATATCTAAACCTTTTATCATTTGTCAAAAACAAATGATTTGTCAAAAACAAATGAAAAGGTTTGATTAATAATACTAATTACATCGACTTTTCTCTAAAAAAAATGTTCCTATGTGTATTTAAGACATTTTGTCTTGGAAAATGAACTTAAAAAACTCGAAATAGACTTACCGACTGATTTGCTTATTTGTGACTGTCTCTACCTCCTGAATAATACATTCAGCTTTCTCCATCATGAAATAATAAAGTCAAATTTTATTTTTATTTTTTGGTGAATTACTCTATTAGTTAGAGTGCATTGAACATTTAATTCTTTGTATTATTTTTCATTTTAGTTAAAAAATACAAATACATTTCATGTCTGTCCCCACATTTGCTTAACTTTGTTACATCAGTTATCAAAAGGAATTCCAATCTGTAATGCACTCATGGTAATAGCATTTGACTTCCTCCAAGTGATTTCCCTTTGTTTGGTAGGAAACTTGAAATTTGTCAACTCTGTTATTGTGATGTTTTAATGCATTTCTCATTCACTTTTTGAAAACTATATATAATGAACATCCTTAAAATTCTAATTTAGACATACCATGTAACATCTGAATTGAGATTAGTATCTTGAGCTGGTAACAGTTTACAATAAGGTTGCTTAGTAAATGCATTTACTAACATGAATTAATCATGAACAACACTTGTACAGCATTTATTAATCATAATTTAACATTTACTAATGCATTATTAACATCCAAGTCCATGCTTGTTAACATTAGTTAATGCTCCATGAGTTAACAAACTAACAATGAACAACTGTATTTTCATTAACTAATGTTTATTAACATGAATAAATACTGTAGTAAATGTACTGTTCATTGTTTGTTCATGTTAGTAAATGCATTAATTAACATTAACTAATGAACCTTATTGTAAAGTGTGACCCTTGAGCTAAAGAACAAAATGTCAACTCTATTATAGCCAACTTTATGAGTGATTTAAAACATTGACTTACACAACATTTAGTAACAGCATCAAATGTTCCTCACCGGATTTAAGCATTTTTCATCTTTTAAATTTAATAACATATTGATTTACTGTAAATTTTACATTTGCTCTATGTCATTCCAGTTTAAAAAAAAGAGTGGAAAATGCTTGAAACGTACCCACACTTCTGGAATGAGTCAAGTGCTTTTAAGGCCTGTGACTGCAAGCAATGGAAGAGAGTTAAAATAACTTAAAAATAGAATAAATTGTAACAATTGTAGCTTTAACAAAGATTAATTTGATTTAATTACTTGCAAAAAAATCTACTGTTATTTTGTATTTGATTATTTGATTTATCTACCTAAATACTGTTATTACTGTTATTTTCTCCCCATTAATCCAAAAAAGACTCATTTAATTTATTTGTATTTTTGCTTTATTCTACTTATTTACACTTGAAAGTTGTGTATTATGCTTTATGCAAAAACATCTGAATAAATCTAAAATAATGAATTGTTTTCAAATAGAGATATTCAAGTCATCTGCTAATAAATATCACAGAAAAGCAAAATATTGCAATGTCAGTTTTTATGTAAAATATCATGCAGCTCTATCCTAAAATAACCCATTACAAGAACTGCTGTGGACAGATGCCTTAATCTCATTTTACTGAAAGAAAATGGGAATTCATCACCAGAATTAAAATACTACAAAGCATCTCCCACCAACCACACTCAAATGCTAACAAAGGTGTTTTAAGAGAGTCTCGTTAACCAGACAGCACAGCTAACAACTAGTCATTAACCCCAAGCGGAAATATTAAAACCCTTTTCCTGCCCGGAGGAGTACGCCCAGACCCATTCTGCATGTTTCCACACTAATAAGCTTTGTAGACACTTTGATGTCCTCTATGGATATGGGTTCTATTGAGGTGCAAAAAAAATGATGATGAAGATCGACACTGTGTTCCATTGTAGACTTAATACTTCAGATGTGCTATATGTGATGCTCATTCAAGGGCATAAGTTCAAGCCCAGATCCTTCTAATCAATGGACACAGTCCTTAATGCAGTACTTACGAAATCTTCTGATTGTGACAGTTTCTTTCAAACTAATTAGGTTTTGCCTGCGTATACATTCTGTAAATATACAACATTTAAAATTATAGACATATGAGCTTTCTGTAAAACAGCACCCATGTATCTCATCAGTTTACAGCATTCCAGTACAAAAATGCAGGATTTACAGATTAAACATTTGTTAAGAACCACCCTAAAGATGCACAAAGTCTGTTTAAATGTATCTTTTGTTAGTTTAACATGTATATTGTGCAATTTGCCATGTATGCTTGTAATGAGGCAGCAAAGATGTAAACTGCCGTCTATAATTGTTCAGTCCACGTCTATGCATCTTCATGTTCCACTCAACTCAACAGGACATGAACAGCAATTAACAGAAAACTCATGTTTATTAAAGACCATAGAATACTCAAGACTTTTCAATAATATAGTTTTAAATATCGAAAAGTGTAACAGGCAATATGGCAACTGAAGCCCCGCCTACTACTACAGGAGCCAATCATCAATCACTATAGACTGACGGAGAAACTCGAACCACACGTGTGCTTTTATGACAGTTTGGTGGTCAACAAATGCACTGGAATCTCAGCAAATACTTGCTTCACAAACAAGAAATACATCCAGATAAAGAATAAAAGTAAGTACTTTTAAATATACCATATACACTTTAAAACAAAAGTTTCTATATAAAACTTCTATATGAAATGGAGGTACAGTCCGTCCTGTCAAACGCACATCACATGACAGCAACTACTCAAACGCCCACAAACTTTTAAATAAAGCCACTTTTATTTTTCATTTTTTTGATTCGCCATCAAGATCAAGTTGTGAATTACTTCAGAAGAGCAGCGCTGATTTTGTTTGATTCGGATATTTAGAAACTTAACTTATGACACGGTTGTTTAATTTTATTGTTAATTCCAAATATGCCATTTCATCGTAAGCTAGGCTAAAATTTTGAGAAGTTGATGTTAAACGATATGTTAAACGATGAGTGTCAAAATGAATTGTTTCTTCGGTGCACCGGGATGCAGATACAGACATTTCGGTATCGGTTCAGTAATAATCATAACCGGTTATTATGTACTGACGTCATTTATCTCTTATGCGCTATGTCGCAGTAGCTTACTATGGCGAGGGAGGGGAGCGGGAGTATTTACAATGCTCCAAGTACTTAAAAAACGCAGAAGCTGTGCGCAATTTTACTGCATATGTGTTTGCTGGACAGTCTTTGGACAGACACTTACAGCAGAAGCCCCTATTTTACTGCAATTGAGAGAATGAAAGTAAACTCTATTTCTCTCTTTCTCACAGTGGGCCATTTGACCTGTTGGCATGACTTTTCATCTCCTCTCGGCTGTTACAGCACTACTTCTGGATACAGACGCAAGTGCGTATCTGCAGAGCGAGTTTTCTCCACAGCATCTATCATGATTCAGCTGTGATCGCTGCTGCCGTTTATCAGCGTCGCTCATCTGTGAAGAGCGCCAGCATGTAAGAGCCAATCGCAGCCCTTTCTGTTGAGTGCGTGACCAATCAAAGGGATGTAAGAACTTGGTAGACAAGGCTCAGAAAGCGAGCGGGATATTTATATTTGCTTATTTGCTATAAATGCCCGTGTTGTTTAAAGGTACAGTTTATTTATCTGACTGTTTGAATTAAAGGACAAAATTGTATTACAAATAGTATATAAATATAAATATAAATATATTTTTACATTTTAATACAAAAATTGCTGCTGTGAAGAAAATACAACACTGTGTGTGGAAAGCATCGTCAATGCACTGTGATGCACAGAGATATCGAATTGAGCTGAATCGATGGCATGATAATGGTAACCAAACCGAACCGTGAGACCAGTGTAGGTTTACACCTCTATGTTAAACCTCAATATACATCTATGTCTGTCCCTTTTTTGAGAATAATTATAATTTAGACCATTTTAATTCACAACTTGGGAGCAGTAATGAAGGAGCAGGTTGAAAAATATGAAACATACGCTGTCTCTTTTGCTGAATATCAGCTTTATTAATCAATAATGGCCATTCTAAAAGTATAACGTACACTAAGTTTATACATTATAGGAAATAAATGCAAGCAATCAGTCAAATATGCAGAATCAGTCTATGTAGTAACATAAATTCAGATATTAAGTTATCTTTGCGCTAAGCCAAAACACATTAACTGAGAACAAGTGATTGATTCAAAAAAACGTCATTAGATATAGACAAGATTGATTAAATATCAGGTTTAACAACTATAGATAAAGCGGTATAACCTTGGTAAACTGTCCGATGTGTGCTGGTCCAACCTGGGGAGGTGCCCGCAGAGCACCCGCTGTCTGCTGGGGCTCAGACCTCCGCATACACTGCAGTGCATCCCAGAGTTTATGTGTAGTCATGTGACGTGCATTTTCAGTGGTGTAGTGTCGATAGAGATCTTTTCAGAAACGCGAGGTGAAATGCCAGTGTGGACGTGGATTTAAAACGCCGTATTAAAACTAAAACGTATTAAGTGTAAACAGGGACTTTAGTGTATCTTCTCCATTAGCAGTGTGTGTTTTACTGCTCTTATTTTTTATTGTTTACAAATTTGTTGACTTGTCTTTGTTTTGTATTCTCTGTGCAGCCCTTTGGACGACTGTGCTACACAAATAAACCCTGTTGTGTTGTATTGTACTGCATTGCATTATTCAGCTACAGAAACACCCCTAGTCTACATTCACAGAAAACCATGCATGTGGAGGTCATGATTTAGGAGCCATGAATCAGCTGATATAAATGACCAACTACGGCTGATTTAGAGAAGTCATGAATAAAGGTAGGTTATTCATTTGTAATCTTGAATGTAACAATTTTTCAAAATTGCACAAAGCATGTGCTTCAAATCTACAAACCTGCAAACGTGTGTTCATCTCCAAGAAGTAGAAGTTCTTCTTAGAGTCAACAAGAAACTCCACAGTGCCAGCTGAAGAGTATTTCACTGCTTTTGCCAGAGACACAGCCTGCTCGCCCATTTTTCTCCGGGTGTCTGGGTCCAGAAAAGTGCTAAACGGCCAAACAAGCAAAACATTTTAACAATGTAGATAGCTAAAAAGAGTAGTGGAGTGGGTAGTCCATGCACAGCTATATATTGCATTAATTTCATAGAACTCTCAGGCTGATTTCAGATAATAGCATGTGTTGAAACATACCTGGGTGCCTCCTCTACCACTTTCTGGTTTCTTCTCTGGATAGAGCACTCTCTCTCATTCAGCCACAGAGCATTGCCGTGTTTGTCCGCCAACACCTGCAGGCAACAGAATAGAAGCCATTAGCACAAAAAGCACTGTGGCCACAGAAGAGACAGAGAATTCAGTTTAAAGACACATTATAGTATGGTTTAGTATTTCTTAGAATATAATATTAATATATTTTTGTCATAGTGGATGCACTGAATGGCAAATAGTATCTTACTCAGCTGGTTTCCACTTTCAGTAATCAGTTGTAACAACCAGATGGATGAACTAATTAATAACCATGAGCCAAGTTAAGACTATTTATATCTATGACCCAAGTGTCCAGCAGATACTCTGGCATTCAGAGTTTGGGGTCAGTAAGATATTCAAAAGGGGGTGCTATTTTTAACCAGTTTGGATGCATTAAATCAATCAAAAGATCAATGCAACATAATATTTCTTCTTAAATTTAAGTTAACCAGTTAAATAAAAACCAAAAAAAAAAAAACAGCACAACTGCTCTGAACTTTGGTCATAAAAAAAGAAACATGTGTCAAATTAGCCGATTAAATTATTTCCCAATCATATGATGACAAATCAGTTCATCACATGAACAAATTGTATTTTAAAATATATTAAAACAGAATAATATATTATAATAGCTATGTAAAATGACAATATTTTACAATATTACTGTTTTACTTTGTATTTAGCCCAATTTAAAAGCAGGCTTAGCGAGTGTTTTTCAAAAACGTATTTAAAAATTAACAAATCTCACCAACTATGAATTTAACTGTATTTAAATTCATTTCTGACAACTAAAATTGCATCTAAGGTAGACATTTAATTCAGTAATTTCTGAAATAATGCCCAGAGTGTAATCCTGCAGAAAAATCAATGGAAAAGCAGGCTGTTTTTGTAGGATCTAAAATATAATGGAGATACGTTTTTTTCTGGCTAATTGTTCATCAAGTCATGTAGAATGTATATAGTGAATACCTGAATCTCAATATGTCTGGGATTGTCTATAAACTTCTCAATCAGCAAACGGTCATCTCCAAAACTAGATGCCGCCTCCTGAGAAGAGAAACGAAAGCCTTCCCTGAAACAGAAAATGAAAAACATACAAAACTTCACTTTAAAATGACTCGAATCCTTAACATTATCTCAAACAAATTATTCATTAGCATTAGATAGCTTTTCGAGAACATATACATACTCTCAAAAAATATGCATCGCTGCTTGTTTTAACTACTTTTTGAAAAGAGCTGGTAAAACACAATTCTGGAGTTTTTGTGGGACTGCTTTATTGTTTTATGTTAAATAAAACAATTTAAAAAATGTGTTTCCAAGCATTTTGACTATTGCACAAAAACTCCTTGATTGTTCACTTTTTTGTGTTATTTATTATTGTTTTATTATTATTATCACTAATAACATAGGAAGAAATAAACGTGTTTTTATTCATCTTCTTATAAACAGTTTAGGCAAAGTCTGAACTGCCTGCCTGAATCGCTTCTAGTGGCTTTTGTAAGGAAACTTGACATTTGTACCAAAAGGATTCCTCTTAGCAGATAAGCATCTCTCTGCCTGAGGATTTTTTCTCTCTCTCTCTCTCTCTCTCTCTCTCTCAAATTCTCTCTCTGTCCTCGGTCTCCAATGAATTGCTCTGAATGACTCTTTTGCTTCTCGAGATAAATCCAATTAAAGCTTAAACAAAAGCCCAGCTTCAGCCTACGGCAATAAAGGCACAATTAACAGCAACATGTTCCACTGAAGTTTTTATTAATATTCTCAAGATATAGAGAAGGCAGAGTGGGAGGGGGAAAGAGGGGATTTGGGTTTCAGAAGGGGTTGATTTGTGAATGGTAATATGTACTGCTTGACTTTTAATGCTATACAAGCAAACATACCATATTTTAAGGAATAAAAGTTATGTTTGCAGTCACATGTTTAATATACTTTAGATTGATAGTTTATATTTTATAATAATTGCTGGGCAAAGATTAATCATGATTAATTGCATCCAAAATCAAAGTTTGTTTTGACACATATATACACAAATAAAATAAAATTTATATAGTAATTTTATAATATACGTATATATATTTTACATATTTCATATAAATAAACATTCTTGTATATATGCATGCATGCAGACACAAACATACACAATTTGACAAAAGTCTTGTAGTCAATCCCAGTTGTATGAGCAACAAATGATAACTTGACTTCTAGTTGATCATTTGGAAAAGTGACAGAGGGTAGATTTTTCAGATGAATCATCTGTTCAACTGCATCCTAATCATCACAAATACTGCAGAAGACCTATTGGAACCCACATGGACCCAAGATTCTTACATAAATCAGTCAAGTTTGGTGAAGAAAAAATCATGGTTTGGGGTTACATTCAGTATAGAGATGTGCAAGAGTTTTGCAAAGTGGATGGTGACATCAACAGCCTGAGGTATTAAGACATTTGTGCTGCCCATTACATTACAAAAAACAGGAGAGGGCAAATTCTTCAGCAGGATAGTGCTGCTCCTCATCCTTCAGACTTCATCCTTCAGTTCCTAAAAGCAAAGAAGGTCAAGGTGCTCCAGGATTGGCCAGCCTATTCACCAGACATGAACATTATTGAGCATGCCTGGGGTATGATGAAGGAGGAGGCATTAATGATGAATACAAAGAATCTTGATGAACTCTGAGAGTCCGGCAAGAATGCTTTCTTTGCCGTTCCAGATGACTTTATTAATATGTTATTTGAGTCATTGCAGAGATGTATGAATGCAGTCCTTCAAGCTCATAGGAGTCATACACAATATTAATTCTTATTCCACTGTACCATGACTTTGCTTTTCACATAAGCCACTTCCGATTCCAAATGGTCAACTAGAAGTCAAGTTATTATTTGTTGTTCCTAAAACTTGGATAGACAACAAGACTTTTGTCAGGCAGTGTATTATCTCAAAACACTTTTACTTCAGATGTGATTTATCTTTACTATTCATGATAGTTTATTTCATTCTGTACTTTTTTACATCTTTTTTCCACATATTGCTGCAAAGTGAGAGTAACAAACACCTTTAGTATTATTTACTTTGATTTGTCAGAATTTTATAAATTGTGACTTTTACACCAGTGCGCGTCAACTTGTTTTCTCACTCTCTGTGCAACTTCTCACTCTCTGTGCAACTTATTTACCGAAAGATAAAATATTAGTACATTATTGTCTAATACATCTAATATTATATAATAATATAATATATCTAATACACTAAATAGTCATTAATTTTTAGTTCCCAAAAGCTGGGATTCCCAAACCTTTCAGCCAGCGACCCCCAAAATTAAAATGCCTGTGACTCACGACCCCCAATATCCTCTAAGGTGTTTATAAACATAGAAACCTTGCACACATCGGTACACACATATGCCCAATTCTATTCATCATTTAAAAAACGCCACTCTGAGACCATCCTTTAGGTTCAGTTGAGGATGGTATTTATTTTTGATGGATGCGAGTGCTGTAAAGGTGTCAGAAAGTTTAACCTGGTGCCATAAAATCATGTTTTGTGTCTTTAATCTTACAAAATCAACCCAAAGGTCGCAAAAAATATTTTAATGTATCTATTACCTACTTTTTTTTTCTTCTGTAGGTTATGGATAATATATGGTAATTGTAATAGTTTCAAAAAAGGAATTAGATTTGTGGAAATCAAGCAAAACCCTGTCGTTGTCCCTACCCCCATTTTGGGAACCACTGCCCTACAATACTGAACGAAATCTATAAATCGAAAGCGCATTACAATTTATTAATGCAGTGTACAAGGCAACTCTCGTTCCAAAACTGTGTCTAATAATCAGATATTTTTGACCCTTAAATATTAAAAGAATCTGCTGTCCCAACATCTCACCTGGTTTCCTCATCATTCCATGCAATCCTCATCCCTTTACCTCCTCCACCAGCAGATGCTTTGATCATAACAGGGTAACCTATATGGACACAAACTCTGTGTTATCCGTATTTCCGAAATCATCTTACTAATAATACATGCAAACAAAGATTGAACATTTCAATGTCTCATACCAATCTCTCCTGCTATTTTCACAGCCTCTTCTGCATCCTGCAAAAATAAAAAATAAACATGACTTTATTTAATAAACACATAGCAGTCTGTGAAATGTTAAATGTGGCATGCAGCAAGTGAGACAATTCAGTTCCTGAGGTTGTCCAGAAGGGGGAGCAAGAGAGAATGATAGTTATTACTAGTTAAACAGTGTGGTCTAAAGTTAAAGATCTGACTTGACCTGACAAAAGTGTCTGATGAAGAAGTCATGTTTATGATAATTAACCTAGCTGCTTTAACTCGTGAAGCCTATGGCTATGGGCACTGTGAAACAAAACTTTATTGTCTAATAAAGCCAATATACATTTATGTTTTAGAGTTGTGTAAACTCTAGTTATTTATTTCTTTATTATTTTTTTATTATTATTTTTTTTTGCTAATAATGTGGACAAATAGATTGAGTTTTTTAAGTAATGAAGAGAAAAGGCCATAAAATTAAAGAATTATAAAGAAAAAAAAGATTTATTTTTTTCTAAAACATAAACATAATGCTTCAAATATTATGAATTATTCCCATACTTCCAGCATACATAAACAAATACAGGATTTTTTATATGACAAAACAAAACAAGAAACACACAAAAAAACACACACAACAAAAAACAAAACAAAATAAAACTAAACTAAAAAACAAAAAACAAAACACAAAACACCAAACTAAACACAAAACAAAAAAAACAAAACAAAACAAACAAAACAAAACAAAACAGCAGCTTTTTGCTGATCTTTCTATGATCTTTCATACTCGAGACTAACAGTCTGCCTCCGTTACAAAGGTTTAACATTACTTAAAATAGAAAAGAAAAAAAACATTCTAAAGTGGTATGAAATGAGATTCACATCATGTGACGTAACAATTTAAACATTCAGAAAAGAAAGTGAGAAACAGACCAATTCACATAAAAAAAGAATAGATCAGTAACTGAGGTGACCTGAATAAAGACAAATTCAAATGTTCTACTGTTAAATCACTCGTAGCAAAACAGTACTGTTAAGAAACACACAGATCGGCTGCTTCTGCTTTAAATTTAATGAAACAGCTTCTAATAGACTCAATTACAATACTTAAACAATCTTCTTTACATTATATCAATTAATTCTGAAAACTTGCTTCATGACTAACTTTGTAAATGTCACACATTTTCAACAATTATTCTTATAATAAATAATTGCTTATTAAATAAATGTAAAAATTGAAAATACTTGAGTTAATACTTGAGTTAAAGTGCTAAACTTGAGTGAAACGAGTCAACTAATTGGGCAAAGACATTACTGTGCTGAGACAATAAAATTGTAAATATTTTCCAGTAGGGCTGGGCAATTATTCAAAAAGTAACATTCAGAACCTATAATTGATCTAATTTTTTAAGTCAAATTTTACAACTACTTTCCCTACCGCATGTGGACTCACGTGACCAGGCTCTGTTAAGGCTTATACTTCTGCGTCGAATGCACGTGTATGGTCCAGTGCAGCCTTCTCATGGTTACACACCTGTGCATCTCTCAAAAATGTAATTACACATCACACCTTTGTACTAGACTGACCATGATTGGAAGCTGCGCCAGTGATGCCTTGAGATGGCAGATTTTCCATTACAATAAAATTGTTATTTACATTAAAATGTTTGTTTACAGAAGATGTAGGAAATATCCTGTTTGAAATATTATTTACAGGATTTACAAGAGTTATTTTATTTAGAAGAGATACTGCTTATTTTCTACCTTTAATGAGAAAAACATTGAAAACAATAAATTGTTACCAAAAGTGCAAGTTTATTTTCGTTTTAGGCAACGTGTGTTTTAAATTCAGTTGTTCAACGTTGATGTTTAATAAATAATCATAGATAGTAGATAGTGTGTGTTTCCTTCAATTATTTGAAAATCAAGGATTGCAAACTTAATTCAAAATCTCTGATTTGTAATATGTGAGCATATTTACTGTATTATCAGTGAACTATGAGAGCAAAAAAATAAGAATAAAATAATTGTTTATTAATCGTAATCGAGTTAAAACGTTCAGTTAATCGAGATTTTGATTATAGGACAAATCGCTCTATCAAAACTGCCGCTGTTATGGTTTCAGAGTGTGAGCTGTTATTATATGTAGCTGCAACACATTTAGTGACAAGTAGGTCATATTTAATTGCTTAAAACAATTGTTGCAATTACACAACTGCGAAGGTCTCAAACAGCGACAAAATAACTGTTTACAAACCATTACCGAAATAGTGAAGCAACTACTAAAATGTCCTTTCTCACTAGATGTCAAAATACATTAACAGCAGAGATCTACACTAGCATTAAATGGAGTGAAGCCGAGGTGACAAATCCAGCAGAAGGGACTAAAGGAGAGATTTTGCGTGTGTGTGTGAGAGTCAGACTGTGATCACTGTGCTGATGTTATCAGGGTCGTTGAGGAGGTGTTCACAGATGGTAATGCCCATACAATCGGAGTGTCATGCGGCACATCTTTGCTTTATAGAGCCCTATCAGCGCAGGAAGTGTCAAAACAGCCACTACAGCGACCATTAAAGGCTATTTAAACAGCATGCAGGAGGAGGGGTGACGGGGGAGGGGCAGAGGATTACAGACAGCAGGAGGACTTGCAAAAAAAGTTCTAAATAGATAATATTTAGCTCTGTTGAGGGTAAAGAGTTAGTTCACTCACACTCAAGTGATTTGAAACCTTTACGAACGTCTTTTTTTTGCTGAACACAAATCAAGATATTTTGAAAAATGTTGGGAGATATCATTGACATCCATAGCAGGTATTAAAAAATACCATGAAAGTCAATGACTGCTTTGTGTTTAACGTAAGAAAACAACACAAACAGGTTTGGAACAAGTGTAGGATAAGTAAATGATCACAAAAGTTTTGGGGTGAACTATGCTTTTAAGTGTTTTATATGCTATTCTATTGGCAAAATAATTTGTTCTAATAAAATGTTTATGGCCAGAATATTTTTCAACAAGAATGTATTTATTTGATTATACAGATCACTTGGCATGTTTTCAGCATTATTTGATTAAAACCAAGTTTAAGATAACACTATTATTTGAAAAAAAATGTAGCAACACTCTTTTCTCATCACTTTTGAACACGTTAATGCATTCCTAATAAATACATAAGTTAATAATACATAAAAATCATTAATTAAAATCAGCATCAAACATTTAAATGTTAGTGTATATATGACAGCTGAATGAAACAAAATGCTACAAAAAATTGGGGGTGGGGTTCAAACTGAGGCCTGGGAACCCCTAGGGGCAATGGATTGTGCTATGGGTACGGGGGTAATGTTTGAGGATAAAAAAAAAATAAATAAATAAATAAAAATAATTAATACATTATTTCATTATTAATAACAGTAAAAACAAATTCAAATGAAGACATAAAATAATCAAATAAACTGTTCATATTAGTATAAAGTAAAAATCAAATAAAACTGGATTAAAAACATCTTATAATTTTAATAAAATTTCAATCAGATTCAAATAAATGCTCAAAAACTAAATTCATTCAAAATTTGATTCAAATGAACAATTGGGCTGTCCCCTAATATGCAGCCAAAAACATTTCAATTAAATTTTGTTGGCTGGTTTGACATAAAAGTTCACAATATTAATTTTTCAGGTATTTTATTTATTCAATTGTAAATAATTTAAAGACTGTTGTTTTAATATTTTGGAGCTACTAACTGAAAGTGAGTTAAACTTTAATCTTTCTTTCTAAGGTTTGTTTTACAGGTTTTACAGGTTTTTACAGCCAGATTATGTTTTATTTTGCGAAAATATTTCATTTTGTTTAATTTTTATTCATATTCCAACATTTATTTGAATGTGTAACAGAAGGTAAATGTTTTACAAATAATAATTAGCTTTTCTCTGTGAGGCCACAAAAAGATTGAAAAGCATTTGTTATGTGATAAACATCACAGTCTAAACTTTCCAAAAAACAATCATCACTTCCCAGAGTACAGTTTCAGCTTGTGCGATTCATAACAATAATCAAAATACACAGTTGATAACAAAAAGTGGAGTAAACAGCACTAACTAGATTATTTCTGCCGCTAGTGGACGCTTTGGGTCTGTTTTGACTAATCGCAGCTCACATGAATGCAGTTGTGCTCGTTCCATACACAGTGACAGCAGGAGGAAATCTCCTCCAACTGCATCCCACTGTCATGAAGCCTGCTCATTCTATAAGCCAAAACTCATTTGCACATTTTAAACAAAGAAACACAGATGTGTTGTCTATTTTTTTGGTTGAATGAGCAGTTGCAAAAAGTTTCATTTTAAGATAAAAAAAATGTAGCCACTTTAAGCTATATTTTTTCGATAGTCTACAGAACAAACCATCATTATACAATAACTTGCCTTAAATACTTACAAAGTATTCAGCTAATATTAATTTTCAATTCAATTAACCATGTCTCTGTACTGAGCTGAACATCTTTACACATCTACAGTATATAATAACTTTTTTTTAAAATGGTGAAAATACATTTAGATACTTGTGTAAAGTTCTTGGGAAAAGACGGAGGACAAACATAAACAAGAAATAAACAAATAAGCAAAACATCCTAAATGTTGATCTGACCTTGACCACCCCATCAAAGCCAGGGATGGTGTTGACTTTGGCAGCTTTGGCGATGAGTTTGCTCTCGATCTTATCCCCCATTGCCTGGATGGCATGAGTGTCAGGACCAATGAAGGTCACCCCCTCAGCCGCCTGCAGAGAAAGAATTTTTAATAAAGCACATTTTGTATCATCTATGCTATTTATTCAGAGCAGATCTTACTTACGATCACGACAAAATCTATTAAAACAACCATCAAAAAATGTCACATCACGCTGCATGACTCAGAGCTGATCAGAACGCACATTATAACACACATACACAGATTTTGTTTTCCCCTGTAGTAAAGATCCTTACTACACCTGAACATTGGTCTAGCTTGAATATTATTTAATAGATTCATAGTAAAAGTCAAAAGTTTTGAAGAAGTTTGTGGTCGGTCAGTAATATTTCTTTAACGTTGGAACTATTATAATTCTACTAGAATGGCCATAGTGATCATTCTGACCATCCATTTCAAATTAATATTTTTAAATAGTATTTACATTCAAAGATGATATCAAGATTTTAGAATTAAGGGTTGAATGTCTGTTGTGATGGGCATGACGGTGGCATAATGGGTCGCACAATCGCCTCACAGCAAGAATGTCGCTGATTCATGCCCCGGATGGGTCAGTTGGCATTTCTGTGTAAGGTTTCCTCCGGGTGCTCCGGTTTCCCCCACAGTCCAAAGACATGCACCATAGGTGAATTGGGTAAGCTAAATTGCCCATAGTGTAGGAGTATGAATGAGAGTGTGTGGGTGTTTCCCAATGATGGGTTGCAGCTGGAAGGGCAAAAGTTGGCAGTTCATTCCGCTTTAGCTACCCCAGATTAAAAAGGGACTAAGCCGAAAAGAAACTGAATGAATAAACGTCTGTTGTAATATTTTACAGAATCATTACCTGAAATATATTGTTATTTTGTAATATAGCCTATAATTGTGTTATTAAAATGCCTGCAAAGGAGCTTATGTCATTTTCTCTGGCAAGCAGGAAAGTTTTTTCACCACAGTGAAAATGTTTTGAACGATGTCTGTCAAGTAAAGTTTTTTTTGTTATAAGAAAGTTATGTGAAAGAGATGGGAGTACCATTTCCCTGCTTTACAAAGGTTTAGAACAGGCGAAAAGTCCATCTATAGAGAACATTAAATCTGCTTGGGAAGAACTTGCAGTAGAAATTCCAAGTGAAATTTGGGAACAAAGTCTTGAACAGGTTCACAGATGTTACATTAATGCAAAACACTGTCTCATTCAGTTTAAAGTGCTTTATAAGCTTCATTATTTCAAGTGTAAATTGAATAAAATATTTCCCGAAGTGTCCCCAGTGTGTGCCAAATGTCGGTTTTTAGATTCCAACCCGTCTCATTCCTAAGTTATTATGTGTCCCAAATTAAAAGTTTCTGGAACAAAATATTTCAAGTTTTTTCAGTTCCATCAGACATTCTGATTGAACCAGATCCTTTATTAATTATATTTGGAGTTTCCGAAGAATTTTTGAGACTTACACGGGTACAACAACAGTTTGTTTCATACGGGTTGATCCCTGCAATTAAAAAAAACATCCTTTTGTTTTGGAAGAAAAACGAAGAAGAACTCTTTAAATTATGGCTGACAGAGTAACCTGTACATTACATCTGGAAAAAATCAGATATACCCTAATAGACAAAGTTTTGTTATTTGAAAAAGTTTGGTACCCTTTTATTTCTTTTTTACAAACTTGTGATTGCTGTTGTTGTTGTTGTTGTTTTTATTATTATTTTATTTTATTTTTTATTTACACATGTCTAATTGTTAGAATGGAAGTTTTATGTTTATGTTTAAAAAAGTGTATTTTCAAGTCAATATCTGCGAAAATGTCTAATAAAAAATATTGAAACTAACAAAGTTCTGTTTTTTTAAGCAGAATATTTTTGTTAGCAGAAAGTTAGGACAAGTGAAGTAAAGTTATGTTTTCACTATCAGAAAGTTGTGTCTTTGATAGTAGAAACTCATGTGTTTGCTAGCATAAACTTGCTAGAAAACAGACACATATTCAGGCACAGAATAAAGTAGTGGATGCTAAAATGTATTCGGTCAATTTGCCAATGAGATCTATGCACAGTTAGAGTTTTAAAGCCAACAATGAACTTCCGCAGAAAGCTTAATGTGGCTATTTTCAATTACACAAGGTTGTTTTTTACAGCATTGATGTTGTAATGTAATTACAATACATTAAGTTAAATAGACATCAACATTCATTTAGTTGTTCAAGCATAAAATGTGATGAAAAACTGTTGTAACCACTAGCACCATCAGTAAGAAGTAGCGCAGAAATTCTATTGAAAACACTAAAGTAAAATATACTGTCATATTTTGAAGACATGGCGGAGAAAAAAGGAATTCAGGGTAGATGCAGGAATCCTAAAGGTAATTTCAATACCTTTTTGAGACTTTTTAAAGACCTTCTCATAATATTTTAAGACCTCTTTGCTACTTTAAGTTCTAATCAGTATCAAACCTTTAACTTAATAAACAGTTGCTAATAAACACTTGTAGTTAAATAAATGAATGGAGCACAACCATGCAACAGAGCTCAGATAAGCTTGAAAGAAACAAACCTTGAAGGAATAAATTACACGGTTGTTTTTAGCGACAGGCTTTAGCAACTGTTTAAACTCGTCTTTCTCCAACCAGGAGTACGCAAACTTACATTATCCTATTTTGCCGTCTGTTTTACTCTATAGCAGAGCTATTCAATTAGTTTGTCATGGGGGCCAGATCATCAAAACCATCTTAAATGAGGGGCTGGAGAGAAATGACTTGTAATATGAGTGATCACACAAGAACATATAAGAGCCCATATGTTGTATTTTTGCTCTTTAAGACACCCACGTTGTATTTTTCTACATTGAAATGTTAATATATTGAATTTTGAAACTACATAACATCACTGCATTGTGCAATTTGGCTTTTTTTACAAAAATATTGAAATGCTGTATTTCAAAGCACAACAAAAGCAGTGCATTGGTTAAGTAGGCTGCTTCTACATTCAGACACATTCATATTTGATGTTTTGAACTGCATAACAAATAGGGATGAAACATTTATAGATTTTAGTTGTACGATTATAATCTGAAGAATGATCATGGTTTCATGGTTATCACGTCTAATGTAAATTTAAGCTTTATATTAGCCAAGTTTTAAAAATGAACTGTTGTTATTTTCTGCGATCATATATGCATAACCATTTTAATAATTTGTAATAATTCGTCTAACATATCTTTTGTTAACATTGCACTGAAAGCCACGCACAACTCTCACCACGACAGCGTACTTGTTTTCAGTGCATCTGAAAGATGCGAGCATATCGCTCCACTTGTGCACGCATATTGGCATATATTCAAATATTGGGAATAATGAAGTTTTACGCAGAAATAACGGGATATGTGAACGGCTCGCTGCTTAATCCAGTGTGCGTGCGTATAAGCCTTAATGTCGCTATTAGCTCGGAACTTTAAACTAGCCCACAGGTGGCATAACTTTGTTTAGTTGTAGCAATTTCATGCTTTGCAACAGAAACACAGTGTTGAGAAGCCTTTAAGCTGAAGGCTCTAAATGTTTTCGGCTTCTCGCACCACTGACTCGCTCTCTGCACAGCCTTCAATTGCATCTCATGATGTATTTGCCTTGCAGGCCAGTAATAGAATAGCCTTGCTCTATGGTTTTGTTACATGTGGAGAACGTCACATCACCTTCTCACGTTTGTCGCAAATTACATAACATCCAGGACAGAGTCGCTTGCCTGAACGCAACCGGCCCAAACCAATCGTGAAAGATAAATGTATTAATACTTTTTTTGGGACAAACATTTCGGACAATGCTTGAACAAAATTTAAGACCTCGTAAAAACGGGATTAAGACTTTAATACTTTTTACGGGCCTTAATTTTCTCATACTTGATTTATCAACTTTTAATACTTTTAAATACCCCACGGACACCCAGGAAATTAATGGAGTGCATCTTGTCCGATCTGAGACTTCAAAACGTACATCTAACATGCAGTGAAGATTGCGGATTTTTAAAGAAATCAGATCTTAAACAAGACAATTTTGTAGTGGAAATACAGTTCACTGGCAACCCTTGCATGGCTAAAAATTAAAAGTCTGTGAGCATATAGCCCATTATGGTCATTCAAGATAGAAATGCTCAAAACTCACGTGTTGTGTAGTTTTTATAACAATGTTACAATCAAATATGCACACATTTAGGAAACATCAGGGTACTATAGTTGTACGAATTTGATTTTAACATAATTATTAAATTTGTCAGCATCCCTCCCTCTGTAGCTTAAGTGTTAAAAGAAATTGACACTTATTTAGACTGGACGTTATAAGAATCAAAACTGACTGAAGACATTTATAATGTCAAAAGTGTTTTATTAAATAAATAAAGACAGACATCAATAATTCTGTTCATTTGTCAATTTTCTTTAACAAATAATACTAAAAAAAGATTAATGTAATCATAAAAATATTAAACAGTGATTTTTAACATTCTTACGTGTGTGTGTGTGTGTGTGTGTGTGTGTGTGTGTGTGTGTGTGTGTGTGTGTGTGTGTGTGTGTGTGTGTGGCGTTCACTCATGCCGTAATTATTACTTTCAATTGATCTTTTTTTGTCTTTTTTCCTTTTCAGTTTTCTATTGGTTGATTTGGTGACATCAAGCTTTTAAAATGGACAGAAGCGGACTTCTCGCTCTCGCTCATTCCTCCACATCACCACAGTTTCTGACGGCTTAATTTTTATGCTCTCCTTTATTCTTTCCTACTGACATTTGTTTGGAGTGGGGAGTCCTTACCTGCTTTGGGTTTTAGTTTGGTACTCATGGGGAATGACAATAATAACTGTAATTTCTTTCATCAGAATTTCTAAATAGTTTATGAAGGAATTGTGAAAATCCAGCCTTTCCATCATAACTTAAGTTTTTAAATAAAATACTGCATTCAATTAGAATGATATTTATTAAATTGAGTTATATTTCACAAAATGACTGTACTTTTGATAGTGAATGTATTATGAGATTGAAATTTTGAAAAACATCTAATATCAAATAAGATTTTTAACGATTTATT